TTTTCTTGTGCCCAATAATGCATAATTTCATTTGATAAACACGTTTAGATTGAATGGTAATTTATAATCCAAGCACCCCCGTGTTTTTTTCAAGTGATTCAGATTCGACGTTCTTGTGACTAACTTTTTTCCAGGTGTATACTTGTGTCAATTCCACTGTTTGTATTTATAGTAGTTAGGCTCAGATATAGGAACTACTTGTGTCAATTCCACTGTTAGTATTTATAGTAGTAAAGCTCTATAAGCAGCATGCGGTTGACTTAGTTGTGTCAAGCAGGTTAGCTCTTATGATAACATGTAGACACAAAATTTTTATCGCTGTTATACTGAATCAGTTCAATACACAAGCTATGTTTCTCATAATCAAACTTTTATCCTCTTTTAATGTACAAAGAATGCATCTTTGCATAAAATTTAATAACAGAACAATGTTCCAAATTTATAGAATGTTCTGAAACTGACTAAGATTCATGAAGAATCTTACAAAAATACCATAGATGGACAAACATTGTACTGACATTTAAAAAAAAAAATCAGTGTTCATGGTGAAATTGGCTCAAAGTTTGCTCACTTAATCATAAAATTAATTTCATTTTCCATTATCACTTGTGACCATGATTTAATTAATACCATTTGAAGAGTTTTATATTATTCCACAATTATAGGAAACAACACTAAAACTGCAACTAGCACAAACAACAAAAGGCATGATTTACCTTTTACTTGATGAACTGAATTCAGGTCTTTTTCAAAGTGGTCATCAAAAGAATGAAGTGCTGTTGGTTCAAAATCAGATACAAAGTGTCGCCCTGCAGAGGTAGTGTGGCAGCAACGACACATGCATGAATGATAGCGAAGGCGACCCTCATCAAGATAAGGATGGGACAAAGCATCATTACAGGATATTCTTTTATCCTAAAAAAATTAAACTGCTTAAACAAACAAAATGTAAATCCATGTTATAGAGTGCAAGCTTCAAATTATTCAACTTAGGCCTTTTATTTTGCTAGTATGAATGAGGACTCTAGTTGATTTAAACCTTCACACAGACAGCTAAATATAAATTTTAAATATAATCACAACTTTTTGTAAGTAAATAGTTTTATTTTTATTGAAATTCTTGTAAAATTACCGAGAGCTATCTGCACCAGTCATCCCTACTTTAGAAGTAAGAAACTAGAGGGAAGGAAGTTAGTCAACATCACCCACTGTCAAATCTTGGGCTCCTCTTTTCTCCCAACTGAAAATCAGATTGAATATCACATTATAATTACCCAACAGATAAAAGGGAGAGCAGGGTTAGTAATGGGAATCGAACCTGCAACCTACTGACTGCAAGTCAAGCACCCTTAACCAAACCACCAGACCATGCCAGGCCCAGTAAATATATAAGAAGAAAGATATATATATCAAGTTTAATATCAAAAATGCATTGACATGTATCATGCTACAAAACAGAAACATTCTGGATTAATGTATTATCAGAATAAACAACAAAAGCATTCACTTTGAACTAATCTATAATCAGATTGAAAAACCAAGGCATCTTTGTGGTTTAGACTAAAGTCATGATAAACAACAAAATGCCCCTCTCATTTATAATCCACCAAGAATGAAAAATAAAATAACTGCTCAAACCCAAGACGACTTACATAGCAATCAGGTTGAACAACAAATATACAATAAGTAAACACATTAATGAAAAATCATAGTAAATTGAACAAACTGTCAAAAGTTTTGACATTGGAGAAACTAGTTTTGACACATTTGTGTGTCTTCTTTAGTCTCACAAAAGATAACGTGAGACTGAAGAAGACATATGAATGTATCATATCTGGTTTCTTCAATATCAAACTTTCTGACAGTTTGTTCCATTTACTTTGGTTTTTCACTAACTGCTATACACCATATTGTGTTCTTTTATTACTAAGTGAACACATACCGGATTCACCACTAGCATCTGGCATAGAAGATGAACTGCTTCATGGGTAGCCAGAGATGACAAGTTGTAAAGAGTGGAAAGACATGGAGGTTTGTAAGGTCTGCGCATCATGTGGGCACGAGCTCCTTTACAGGCATGATCCATATCTTCTAAGAGTGGAGTTCCTAGCAGATCTGTTATAAGCTCCAACTGGAAGATATTTAGAACATGTTCTTCTGATATTGTTCTTTAAGAATTTTCTGGATTTTCATACACAACTTGTAGCAGGTGTAAAAGAGAATGCAGAAAGAAACAATTCATTTTTAATATCAACTAAAAGGTTTTAAAGGTGTTTGTGTTTACCTGTTGAATAGGTGTTTGGGCCTGAAACAGTATCTTTCGACCTAACAACTCAGCAAAAATACATCCGACAGACCACATATCAACTGCTGAGAAGTAATGTTTGGCCCCCATAAGGAGTTCAGGAGAACGGTAATATTGTGTTACCACTTCTTGAGTCATATGTCTGCTTTCATCAGGTTCCTCCACTCGAGCCAAGCCAAAGTCACAGATCTGTAGAAAATCAAAGCAAATGCACAAAAACCAATATTTTTTTCATGAACATATACAGATACTCATAATTTATGAAGTAATAAAATGTCTGAAACAAAAGCGTTATAAGTTATGATTCTGGAAAAGAAATAGATTATTTGTTTAACCAATTTTTTTGATTGTTCAGCATTTGAGTGAGTAAATTTAATACTTCTACAACTTCTCACTCCTTACTCTTATAACTAAGTCATCAATTGATAAAACTTGCATGTAAAAATATTTTATATTTTCTCTGGCAAACAAGATAAGATATCTTGCTCATAAAATAATTTTATTTAGTCTCTGATAAACAAGGTAAAATATCTTACTTGTAAGACAATTTTACTGACTTAACTGATGTAAGGCAACTTGCTTGTAAAATTTTTTTCATTTTCAGTGTACTATCCTGAGGCAAGGCTAACATGGTTGTAAGAAGATTTACTGTATGGTAATGTAAGGTAAAATAATTTGCTCATTTATTTGCACTCTGGTAATGCATGCAAGGTTACTGCATAGTCACCAAAATCTTCAGGGCACAGACCCCTAACCTTTAAAGTCTTTACTTGTTGGGGATGGGAAACATAATTTTACTCTGTATTATATAAAACTAACTTTATCTTAACTTAACATTTGAAATATGTATTATATGAAGCATGCACATTATTCAATGAAACCGTTTTTATAGATCTTTGGTTTATCAAACTACACAGAATAGTATTACCAACAAAGATGATATCATCATACTGTTTGGGTGTGTGTTGGACTCATTTTACTTTTGAAATACATCAAATTAATATAAAATAAAAAATCCACTTCCTATTAGGGTGGTGAGGGGTTAAGAAAATAAAACTTGAGGATTGTTCTTTTTATCAAGGAACAATAATGTATTAACAAACGTGGCAGTGAACTATACATATCACTAACTTCTCTCAAAAAAAAACAGCTACTGGTGACCAATAATTAAAATCATCCAGAATACCTTAGCTACAGAATATCAATGAGAAAAATACCTTAAGAACACAGTTACTGTTGACCAGAAGGTTCCCAGGTTTTATGTCTCGGTGTAAGATATGAGCAGAGTGAAGATATTTGAGGCCTGCAAAAAAAATTAGATTAAAATCCCTTCCATAACAACAGAGCTTTTGCTAGATTAAGCAAGATTTCCCAAACTAATATCATACACTGGTCATAACTAGTAAAAACTAGTTTTCATTGTTTTGTTTTACATAGAAAAATCTTTTATTTATAAATTTACAGTTAAAAGTATTTGTCAATTTGACTGCATATACATTTATACAGGATTAATCATTTGTATTAACGTACTTAGGTGTGGTGATTAACATCAAACTTAAGTGATCGAATTTAGGGCTTGATTGTAAATAAAATTAATACTATTTGGCTAATAAGGTATTTTATGATTGTGTGATTCTACCTGAAACTTTTACACTAAGCTTGAAAGCAAATGCTAATAAAGAAGAAGGGTTCTCAACTGATGAAAACATTCAATTTATCATGAACTACAGTAGGGGTTCATAATAGGGATTGCCCATTTGTTCTTATCTAATATTGTTCCATCAGCCTACAGCAAAAATGGCTGAGTATTGTATTAAAACATGAGCAGTATTACTAAACACATCACTCTGCATTGTTTGGGTAGTTTTAAGTTTTTTAAGTTTATATGACTACATACCAAATAACAGCAGCTGTATAACTTTTGACACTCAATCGTCTTAATGTAGTCTGTGGTTTATATGGAGCCTCATAATCCACTACATGCATATGTATATAGCTGTGTGCAGGCCAAGGATGTAATTTAATGTTTATATAGCAGGCATGACACATGTACTACAGAGGTTATTAATTTATTGTTGCAACAGTATTGATGTCTCATATCATTTGTTTATGTACAGGGTTCCTGCCCCTTTTAGACACAATGCTGCTAACAGGATCATAGCTTCTTTACCATTGCATGATCAATTTTGGCCGTGTTACACATATGTCTAGGCTGTCTCCCACAACAGAAATCTTTAAGCTGTAGTTTAAAAGATAGCATCAAGATCATATTCAAGCATCGGATACCATGATGATGGCTGACGATAACTGTAGAATTATAGCCAACACTGTGTGACTGTGAATTTTATAGATACTGGAGATAGGGTAACTATCCTTGAAGCTGACTATAAGGAGTGGCAAGAGTTGCGCAAGCAGGAGATGGCAAAAATGATGGCAATTTTAGGCAAAAGTGAGGCAGAAATTTTGTAGCTATATATTTTATTTAGAAGATATTTAGCTTCATATAAAGTATGCTGCAGCAACAGCCCCCCAGAGTTTAGGGTCATCACAGTGGAAGCGGGTCATAGAATTGTTACAATTCAAACTCCATCAGGAAAGGAGGAGAGAAAGGTATATTAATATAATCAATTCATAATTGTAAATTAACATGTTTTCGACCTTGTAGAATGTGCAGAATGTAACTCTAAGAGGAAATCTGGCCAGCTGCAGCAAAATCGTGACCGGCCTCACTGTGACCAGTGGAGTGGAGGAATAGTTAGAAGAGGAAGGGGGAAATAAAACAACTATAATAAATGTTAAAAATGCTTATTGGTATATATATATATATATATAGATGCTATTATATTATGACACTATTTTCTTATTATTTGCTATTAGTAATACATATGCGAGGCTATCTATACTAACTTAGTAAATTCATGCGGCTATTTAT